GGGTAAATATGTCCATTTAACATTTCAGGAGGAAAAATAGTCACTTCAATAATTTAAAGGGGAAAAATGCTATAGGTATATAACTCAGTGGGAAAAAGTGCCATTTTCTCTAATATAAAATATTAAATTTAGGGAAAAGGGTCAAATAAGCCATCGAACTTTAGCTTAAAAGTCAATTAGACCCCTAAACTTTTTAAAGGTGCAATTACACCCATCAACAATTCATTTAAGTGCAATGAAGCCCAAAAACAAATTAATGACCTGCTATCACAAGTTATTAGGGTTCAGGTCACCTTCCGGCAAATTTTCCGGCAAAAAAAACAAAAGTGACCGGCGAAATTTCCGGCAAAAAAAGTGACCGGCGAAATTTTCGGTAAATCTGGGTTGGTTGCTGGTCACTTTTTTTTGCCGGAAAAATTGCCGGAAGGTGGCCTGAACCCTAATGACCTGTGATAGCAGGTCATTAACTTGTTTTTGGACTTCATTGCACCTAAATGAATTATTGATGGGTGTAATTGCACCTTTAAAAAGTTTAGGGACCTAATTGACTTTTAAGCTAAAGTTCGAGGGCCTATTTGATCCTTTTCCCTTAAATTTATTACCAAAGTTGTTGTTACAATATACGGCAAATCACTGCGTGGACTATTATCTTAGCTTGTTCGCTTCATGTCCAAGAAAGATTTTGAGTATGACAAACTTGAAGGACCATGGATATCTTGTGGTCAAGAAGCGGCATTCTAATTTTGATCCTTTGACTGATAAAATCGAGAAACTAATCTTATGAAATTTCGGTAATATGTGACCGGAAAATTAGATTGGAGGACCAAAAATGATACTAGTTAAAAAGTCATGCACTTAAATTGAAAAAAGTAATAGTCACTCTGAGCTTATTAATTTATCGAATTAATTTCACTTTTGGTCCCACGACTTTTGGTGCACAACTTTAAATTTTTTCAATTTTGGTGCCTAACTTTGTTATTTTTATCAGTTTAGGTCCTTCTAGCCAAATTGACGGTAAAATATTTTCAGATTTTATATTTTAGGGGCAAAATCGTCATCCCATGGAAAGATCTTCAATATTTAAACAAAAGAAAAATCATATTAAGAGGAAAAGAAGAGTTTGCCAATGGTCGAAACTATAAATCCCATAGATCTGTCTGGTTTCTGCCCATCTTCTCCATTATTCTCATCATCAAACACCTATAGATATGATTTTACGGTGATTTTGTTTAGATATTGAAGATGTTTCCTTGGGATGACGATTTTACCCCTAACAATATAAAATCCAACAACATTTCACTGTCAATTTGGCCAAAAGGACCAAAATTGATAAAAATAACAAAGTTAGGCACCAAAATTAAAAAAATTTAAAGTTGTGCACCAAAAGTGATAAAACATCAAAAGTCGTGGGACCAAAAGTGAAATTAATTCTTAATTTATCGGTCAAACATGTGGTCCACAAGCTAAGCCACCTAGAACCTTCCAGGCTGCATGGTTTAATTACTCACTCTGAGCTTAATAAGGTAGTGAGGAGTGGCTGGAACGAACAGAATAGTCTTGGTGACAATCTGATGAGGCTGGCGATTTCCCTCTCTATTTAGAATAAAAATGTCTTCAGTAACATCCATGGCAGGAAAAGATCAGAAAAAAGAATTATGAATCGTTTAGCTGGCATCCAACGGAATTTGGACAATATTAGAGGGAATGGACTATTAGTTGAAGCTTGAAAAAACCTTAAAGCTGAGTTAATTGGATGAAGTTCTATACCAAGAATAATTATTTGGGATAAAGTACAAATAAGCCACTGAATTATTTGAGAAATTAAACAGCAATTAAACCACCAAACTCAAATAACCTCCAAATAAGCCAATGAACCCGCAAAAAAAAAAAGAAGAAGAACATTTAACATTTTTAACAGGTTAACTTTCAATTTTGCTGACTGGATTGCCACATATTTATATTTTATTTTATTTATTATTATTATCTATATGGATTATTTGTAAGCAAATTCTCAGACACTGTTCAAGCTGATATGGTGGCTAGCACTAATAGTTTTTGTTTGCCACACTTGTGACACAAAGATTTACATATTGTTGGTTGTAGCTAAGGATGTTGGATACCCTATCCAGTTTGCATAGGATTGGAAAGGTATTGATCTTTGCACTCCATGGAGGGGTATAACATGTGATAATGGAGGAATTTGGGTTGTGAGCAGTGACTTATTTGTATTTTATCCCTCATTATTTTGGTACCAGAAATCTAGAGAAGAATAGATATCATCAGGAGACAAAAAATACTAAATTTTATCACGCCTTCACTGTCCTTGGCAATTTACGTCAAAGAAACTTTAGTTTGTGTAATGGGGACGGCAATCTAGTCAGCAATGATGATGAAGCTAAAAGCATTATATTGTGAAGCTAGGATTATTTTACCGGTTTATTTAAAAGGTATGATTCCTGTTTGATCAGCAACTAACTCCATGAAAGGAGGCTTCCCTATGCTGGATACGGAGTAATTTCAACAAGCCTGGCCTATTACTAGGGGTGTTCATTCGGTTAACCGTTCGATTAACCGAACCGTTTTAACCGAATCGAATTAACCGAAATTTTTTTTGTCTTAACCATTAACCGAACCGAAATGCGCTCTGCCGAATTAACCGAACCGAACTTTTTTTCGGTTAATCGGTCGGTTAACCGATTAACCGAAATTTTTAACCCTAAAATTGAAAATCCTAAAAATAACTCCTAAAATAATAAATTCAATTAAAATAAAATACATATCATAATAAATTCATATCAAAACATACAAAAATAATACCATAAGTCCATAATCCATTTGACTATTTGGGATTTTAGTACATATTATATATTTATATTTAATATTTAATATATTATATATATATTCCAAAATTCGGTTAACCGTTCGGTTAATTCGGTTAACTGACACTTTCGAACCGAATTAACCGTTAACCGAATTTTGGGAAAACCTTTAACCATTCTCCGAACCGAAATATTTCGGTTAAAAAATGGTTAACCGAATCATGTCGGTTCGGTCGGTTAATCGAAATTTCTCCGAAATTTGCACACCCCTACCTATTACGACGGAGGAAATTTAAAAGCATTTTGGGCCGGGGGTCCTCAATCACAAGTATATGCAAGGGTCTTGGGACATTATATTGAGGCTATTAGCTCACATATATATATATAGCAGGGCTTCCAACACTTGGAAAGGGATTAATAAGGCTAAAAGTATCCATAAAAGATCAGAGGGGCTTCAATTCGGTCAACATATATTTATAGGGAATTTCCCTCAACTAACATCTATTTAACACAAGGACCAAAGTATTAATTTTGGTCAAATTAAAAGTTCAGCATAAAAATTAATAGTCTAAGGACCATTCATGGAGTTAATTCGATCTATCATATATTTATAGGGAATTTCAAGAAAATTATGGAATTAACTTTAACCCACAAATCCAAAGACCTTGTAATTCAATAGTATCAAGTTGCTCCCCAATGTGGGAGGTGATGAATTCAAGTATTGGTGGAGGCGTAGTAGCTTGTATATTTGGGTATTCACTTCTCTTTTCTTAAACTGAAATTATTGCCACTCTTGGGACAATTGTTCTCAAATAAAACTGAAATTATTGTCACACTCTTGGGACAATTATTCTCAATTAATTTAGAGCTGGATTATATTTTTCGCGACTCATAAAATAGACAAATTATTGTGTGGATCATATATGGTCTACACAGTGCTGTGTGGATTATAATTAAAAGGAATAAGGGTTAAATAGGCCACTCAATTGCACACCAAAGTGCAATTAGGCCATTGAACTCAAAAAGAATGCAATTAAGTCATTGAACAACACAAAAACATGCAATTTAACCCAAAATGACTTGTTTACCTAGAGTAGCAAGTTACCAATTTCAAAATTAATTTTTTAAAATAACTTTTAATAAATAAATAATTAAAATATTAATAAATAAATAAATTAAAAAAAAAAAAAAAACAGAAACTGCCGGTCGGAGACAAATCGTCTCCGGCCGGCTTTGTCTCCATGGCCGGAGACGAACCTCCGTCTCCAGCCATGGAGACAAAGACCTTCGTCTCCATGGCTATGGAGACGAAGGTCCCTTCGTCTCCATGGCTATGGAGACGAATCGTCTCCGGCCATGGAGACGAATTTGTCTCCGGCCATGGAGACGACCATGGCCGGAGATGATTCGTCTCCATAGCCATGGAGACGAAGGTCTTTGTCTCCGTCTCCAGCCATGGAGACAAAGCCGGCCGGAGACGATTCATCTCCGGCCGGCAGTTTCTGTTTATTTATTTATTTATTTATTAATATTTTAATTATTTATTTATTAAAAGTTATTTTAAAAAATTAATTTTGAAATTGGTAACTTGCTACTCTAGGTAAACAAGTCATTTTGAGCTAAATTGCATGTTTTTGTGTTGTTCAATGACTTAATTGCATTCTTTTTGAGTTCAATGGCCTAATTACACTTTGGTGTGCAGTTGAGTGGCCTATTTGACCCTTATTCCTAATTAAAAAAAATATTTTTAATATACTAAAAATACATTTTTCGTGTACTGAATGTACATTATACAAAATAATGTATTTTTAGTACTCAAATAATATATTTTTCTGAAACAATTATATTTTTAATATATTAAAAATATATTATTTGTGTACTGAATATACATTACTTGATAGTATAGCCCATACAATTGCGTGAACCATAATGATTACGTAAAATGCAACACCATGCAATATGAAAAAAAAAAAAAAAAACAAAAAGAAATCTATTGGTGTTGGTCAACCTGATATGAAATTCCCTAGCATTGGTCAAGCCTCCCTTTGACATTTTGGTCAATCATTGGTCGAGGTGATTAAGGTCAAAAAGTCCGCACGAGAGTTTCGCAACGTAACATCAACACATAAATCCTTAAAACCCAATTCTTCTCCGATCAAAAAAATCAAAATACGACCAAAACCGCAGTCGATTTGATCACATTTCTGATCTTCTTCGATCAATCCCACACCAAAAATGGCGGCGTGGGAGAGCACGAAGAACCTCGTACGCGCATTCGTCGACTGCGGAGACAACATCATTTTCTTATCGATGTCGCGGTTCCTGAGAGACTTACAGGGACACCGCCGCCCGGCGGCTCCGCCGGCCGCGGCAGTCACAGCCGCCTTCAGGTTTCTCGACGTCGCCGTGGCGGCCACCTTCGCCGTCGTTGCGTTTACTGTTTTGGTCACGAGTAGAAGAGAGACGCCGACGATGCCGTTACGGTTATGGATCTTCGTCTTTGCCCTTCAATGCCTCGGCCACCTTGCATGGCTTTACGTGATGCATTATCCTCATCTACAACAACAATTGAGGGTTACCAAGTACGTATAATATAATGTTTTATTCTTTCATGCCTAAACTCTTTATCATGCATGCATGGATGTACCATTTTTCACAATAATGTTAGGGTAATTTTTATTTTTATTTGATAGACTTAGGTCATGTTTGGTAACATAGTTAACTTATCGATCAATTTTAATTTATTTGATCGCTATTAGCTGTTTGACTTGATTAAACCACCAATATGACTTAATCTATATACGGAGTAATATATATGGTCATGTTTAGTAACATAGTTAGCTTATTAGGTAATTTTGACTTATTTGACAACTATTAACTATTTAACCTGTTTAAACAATCAATATGGACACGTCCACACATTGATTTAGTTCACGTCCCTACATTGTCACCTCTAGGGCTCTAGGCTCTAGTACATGAATATCTAAGTATATATATGAACTTATTTGATATTAATATTAACAGCTTAATTAAGCATGTGGAATATGGAAAAGACTCGGCCTATTTTACTTGGTGGTTTCTTGGATTGTCTTGGCTTGTGAACTCAAATGGCTATGACGAGGTTGCTCCTCAACTAACTAGGTATGTACTTCATGAATTATTAAATGCGTATTAAATATATTGTTATTAAAATTTTACTATGTCAAAAAAATCTTTTCAAGTCCATACAAATATCGTGAATATCTCATTTATATTATTTAGTTTTTAAATAATTTTATTTTAGCATTTAATTAATTTGTGATTATTATTATTATTATTATTATTATTATTACTATTATTATTATTATTATTATTATTTTTTTTTTCTTCTGATGCATGCAGCCTCACCGCGGTTTTCCTATTTTTCGATTTCGCTATTTTCTTGGTTGTTGTTTGGGGATTTATCGTTACCACAACTATTCTCATTTGTTTGCTACCTGCGATTTATGTCGCTTTTCGCTTTTCGAGAGACCAAGGCCAGGTATATATGTTCATATAATTTTTTTTTTTTTTTTTTTTTTTTTGGGAAAAAGATCAAATCAGTTCTAACTTTTACTTAAAAAATCAATTAGTTCTTTAAACTTTCAAAAGTTACAATTAAATTCACAAACATGTTATTTTGGAGCAATGAAACTGACAAACCTATTAGTGACCTGTAATTACAAGTCAACTAGGATTCCTACCAATTCCGGCAGACGTCCAATCAAATTCTGGCCATCCATGTCAAATACCAGCGACTGGCAACCATCAAGTCGCTGGTTGCGTTTGGAGAAGGTGACCAAGTTGGTCACCTTCTCCACGCGATTGGCGATCGTTTGCCGGTTGCCGGTCGCTGGTATTTGACATGGATTTCTGGAATTTGGTAGGAAGTTTGTCGGAGTTTGCTCGAATCCTAGTTGACATGCAATTACAGGTCATCAATAGATTTGTGGGTTTCATTGTTTCAAAATAACATGTTTGTGGGTTTAATTGCTACTTTTAAAAGTTTAAGAGCCTAATTGACTTATTGAGTAAAGTTTAAGGCCTTATTTGACCATTTTCCTCTCTTTTTTATATATGAAATAAATTATTTATTTTGATTTTGTTTTGTTTTAGGGAATTCGAGTTCAGAACATACAGCTTCCGCCATGCCCATTTTGTGATTACCCTCTCCACAAAACATGTTATCGTCTAATATGAAACTGTCAAACCAAAATCATTTGTACCTACATACCAATAACTTGTTCTTTAGGCAAGTTGAATTTATGATGGTGGAAAGAAAGTGTTAAAACATCCACATTTGGTAATTGTTCCATATATTTATTGTGTATTGATTGGTAATTGTTCCATATTCTAACATTGGGGAATGCAAATCGGTGCATTGAGCGGTGCATACCGAAGAATAAATAGAAATACAAATCGTGTGAATGCATAGAGAACAATAAATAATTAATTACGCCAACAGACACAGATAATTTCTAACAAAACGGCGTTACTTTTATTGAGCGGGAAAATGCTAAGCTGTGATTGGGCAAGACGTTATGACTTTATTATATAGTGATGGATATATTACGAGAAGAGACTCGGGGCAAATCGACTCGAGAGTTGCGGCTGAGGTTTACTACGAGGACCCCAGTAGAGGACCCCAGTAGGGGGACGACCACAGCGCCGGCGAAGGTCAGGGTCAACCTGGGCGTCGGCCTCGTCCTCGCGTGACTCGGTCAATCTTCGGCGTGGACCTCGGGCGAGGACTACCACGGGAGTCTCCCCGCGTGACTCGGTCAACCAAGATCCAACCGCCCGCCCTATTCTCTTGGGGTCGGTTGGGAGGATTGCTTAGTATAAAAAGACATCTCCTTGTCTTTGTTAGGACATCTACATTTTATATCACTACTACACTCTTTGTAATTCTCCTACAAAAGATTATTAATACAACGGTTGTCCCCGTGACACACACATTCATTGTCTTTTCCTATTTATCATTTATTGGATTTAGTGATTCGGGTCTACCCCGGGTAATTAAATCCATCACTGGTGCTCTTGTTGAGAGTTGACGTACAAGCTCGAGCGTGCTCCATGTTCCACTAGTTATGGCAAGGTCGAGGTCCAACTCTCACGGCTTCCGTAACACCCGTGCCTCCCCTACCGGGGGTGGCCTCAACGGGACCACCAGTCAGCAACGAACCCTTTCTTTGAGGTCGGCGGGTGACCTCAGAGATCACCTCACCAACCACCGCAATGGTGCGTTGCCCCCCTCCTCCTCCAAATCTCGCTCTTTTTCGGGAGGGGGCGACTGCCCTTCAGTAGGCCTCAGTGACACCGCCCCGCCTCACGGAGGGGCTCCAAGGAGGTACGCAGGTCGGCCTGGAGGCCACCTGAAGGGTGCCGACCCCGCCTCCCTCGAGAGGGCACAGCGCCCAAGCACATGACCACCTCACGCGTCTGGCACCCCGGCCGAGGGCAGGCTAACTCGCCCCGACCCCCCATGCCGGGCCTCAACAGGGACATCATCACCCACAGGCTCGCCGTCGACCCCACAATCAAGCCGGTGCAACAACGCGAGAGGTACCTCTCCGCGGAGAGGAAGGAGCTCAAGAGGAGCTCTTGACATTCCCTAACGGTAGTATCGGGGGGACGCCCCCGCTCACTACTAGGGGACCTACTCGGCTCAACCCCTCAACCTTGGTCCCGAATAAATCTCCAAGATTGCCCGGGTGGAGGACCTCAAGAAGTCCAATTCAGAGGCCTACCTGGTCCTCCCAGTGCAAGCTCGAGCTCCCTATTGGCTAGACCACCTAAGGAGTATAAGAAGACATGCGTCCTCCCCAAGACGAGGTGGACCTACTTGGCTTGGCCCCTCAACCTCAGCCCCGAACAAATCTCCAAGATAGCTCAGGGACACATTCCACGGAAGACCCTACAACAGCACCCTACTATGCTACCTATACCCCAAGGAGGGTCACAAGGGAGACCCCATTCTCCTCGTCTTACGACTTTGAAGCCCGAACCCCCTCTGAGGTAGCCGTACCTTCCCCCTGGACAGAAGAATACGACCCTGACCTAAACGAGGGCAACCACCGGACCTCCTCATCGAGAACTACCAACGCCAAGCTAAGGCTTACCACGACAGGCGTGGTACTTCCAATATTTATATCTTGTAAGGTGGTCCGCCCCCCTTCAACTTCAATAAACGCAGTAAAACTTCGCCATGGACTCATTTTCACTATTCCAGGAGGGGTGGAGGTACCCATCCAGCCTATTCGGTTACCCGAAGGGGGCACGAGGCCCGACCTCGCGTACAAACCCCGACGGAAGAGCTCAATGGCCCAAGTCCGGTGACTTGGGGCCGACGGGCTTACCCTAAGGGGGCACGGGGCCCGACCTCGCGTACCAACCCCGACGGAAGAGCTTAACGGCCCAAGTCCGGTGACGTGGGGCATACAGGCTTACCCTAAGGGGGCACGAGGCCCGACCTCGCGTACCAACCCCGACGGAAGAGCTTAACGGCCCAAGTCCAATGACTTGGGGCCGACGGGCTTACCCTAAGGGGGCACGAGGCACGACCTCGCGTACCAACCCCGACGGAAGAGCTTAACGGCCCAAGTCCGGTGACTTGGGGCCGATGGGCTTACCCTAAGGGGGCACGAGGCCTGGCCTCGCGTACTAACTCCGACGGAAGAGCTTAAATGCCCAAGTCTGGTGACTTGGGGCCTACGGGCTACCCTAAGTTGGCACGAGGCCCGACCTCATTCGCGACGGAAGAGTTCTTGGACCAAGGGGTACCCTTAACCAAGCAACTACAACTACCCAAAAAAAAAAAATTACTAAAGCTAGTCCATGGCAAGAACCACTAAGTATAGCCCAAACTACGGGTCTGGGTCGAGGCAATGAGGATATTCATCAACTGAAGTCAAACACGGCCAAGGAGGGCGTAGGGGGACTCGAGCTTAGCCCTCCCAAGGCGACCTTAGCTGGGATTGTCCCGCCTAGAGGTGACCTCGGCTGGGGCAGCCTCGGCTAAGTGTGGCCTAGAGCCCGATTCTCTCTAACAAGGAGGCTACCACATGAGCTCGCCAAAGAGAAGGACGGCTGCCTCATGAGCTCACCCAAGAGGAGGAGGGCTACCTCATGAGCTCGCCCAAGAAGATGACGCATCATGAGGGCTACCTCATGAGCTTGCCCAAGAGAAGGACACATCAAGGGGGCTACCTCATGAGCTCGCCCAAGAGAAGGACACATCAAGGGGGCTACCTCATGAGCTCGCCCAAGAGAAGGACACATCAAGGGGGCTACCTCATGAGCTCGCCCAAGAAGATGACGCATCATGGGGGCCACCTCATGAGCTCGCCCAAGAGAAGGACACATCAAGGGGGCTACCTCATGAGCTCGCCCAAGAGGAGGACGCATCAAGGGGGCTACCTCATGAGCTCGCCCAAGAGGAGGACGCATCAAGGGAGCTACCTCATGAGCTCGCCCAAGAGGAGGACGGATCAAGGGAGCTACCTCATGAGCTCGCCAAAGAGGAGGATGGCTACCTCATGAGCTCGCCCAAGAGGAGGACGACTACCTCATGAGCTCGCCCAAGAAGATGACGCATCATGGGGGCCACCTCATGAGCTCCCCCAAGAGAAGGACGCATCAAGGGGGCTACCTCATGAGCTCGCCCAATAGGAGGACGCCTAAGTGGAGGACGGCTACCTTATGAGCTTGCCCGAGAGGAGGACGCATCAAGGAGACTCATGATAGATGTATTAGGAAAAGGGACTCGGGGCAAACCGACCCGGGGGTCGCAGTGTGATGCGAAGGGCCTGGGAGACCCCAACTGGGTCCCCGGCGTAGACCTCGGCTGAGGTCTACTACGTGGACCCCAGTTGGGGACAACCTCAGCGCCGGCCAAGGTCGGAGTCAACCTCGGCCGGGGTTGACCTCGTGGTCGCCCTGGTTGGGGTCGGCCTCGGCCAGCTGAGGTTAGGCGGGCGCTCTCCCAAAAGTGAACGCAGAAATCAAAGTCTCATACACGATGCCAAGGAGTCCAAGACTTGTTAGTGTTCTTGCGGAAGAGAAGAAATCCCGATCGCGATGGAATCACACCAAAGTCGGCCGAAGAGGAAGGAGGCGGGGCGGACGTCTTCCCGTGGGCTTGGGGTCGACCTTCGACTCGAGCTACTCTCTTTCATTGACGAGGACTCGCAACTCAGAGAGTGGGGGACTCATGATGGATTTATTAGGAGAAGGGACTCGGGGCAAACCGACCCGGGGGTCGCAGCGTGATGCGAAGGGCCTGGGAGATCCCAACTGAGTCCCCGGTGTAGATCTCGGCTGAGGTTTACTACGGGACCCCAGTTGGGGACGACCTCGGCCGGGGTCGACCTTCGACTCGAGCTACTCTCTTTCGTTGACGAAGACTCGCAACTCAGAGAGTGGGGGACTCATGATGGATATATTAGGAGAAGAGACTCGGGCAAACCGACCTGAGAGTTGCGGCGACATGCGAAGGGCCAGGGGGACCCCAACGGGGTCCCCGGCGAAGACCTCGGTTGAGGTCTACTACGAGGACCCCAGTAGGGGGACGACCACAGCGCCGGCGAAGGTCAAGGTTAACCTGGGCGTCGGCCTCGTCCACGCGTGACTCGGTCAATCTCCGGCGTGGACCTCGGGCGAGGACTACCATGGGGGACCCCAGGGCGAGGAATACCACGGGAGTCTCCTCGCGTGACTCGGTCAACCAAGATCCAACCGCCCGCCCTATTCTCTTGGGGTCGGTTGGGAGGATTGCTTAGTATAAAAAGACATCTCCTTGTCTTTGTTAGGACATCTACATTTTATATCACTACTACACTCTTTGTAATTCTCCTACAAAAGATCATTAATACAACGGTTGTCCCCGTGACACACACATTCATTGTCTTTTCCTATTTATCATTTATTGGATTTAGTGATTCGAGTCTACCCCGGGTAATTAAATCCATCATATAGAATAGAATATTATATAGAATGATAGAAGGATTATCTTGGACCCCTCCAAAAATACTTAATTTATATATTAAATGTTCACAATTTACATACTACATGTTCACAATTTTATATATACTAATTGTTTACAATATACATACTGAATTGATTACTGTAATTTGGGGCAAACAAATAATACCCGGAGTAGTCGGGTTGTCGAACCACAGAGAGGTGGGGTACTAATCACTAGCTACTAGGTTACTCATATGAAACTAGTCCGAACAAAACTTGAAGGTTGATTGATTGCATAAAATAAC